GGGATGGACACCGGGATTTCCTTGCATTCCTGCTTTTCCTGTTTTTCCGGGATGGACACCGGGATTTCCTTGCATTCCTGCTTTTCCTGGGCACACTGGACAGGGTCGGGGATGGAAACTGGGATTTCCTTGCATTCCTGTTTTTCCTGTTTTTCTGGGATGGACACCGGGATCTCCTTGCACTCCTGTTTTTCTGGGATGGACACCGGGATTTCCTTGCACTCCTGTTTTTCCTGTTTTTCCGGGATGGACACCGGGATTTCCTGGTGCTGCTGCTTCTCCTGGGCGCAGGGAACGGGGACGGGAACCGGGATCTCCTTGACCTCCTGCTTCTCCAGCGTCGGTTCCTGGCGCGGAGCAGGTTCGGGGGTCGGGAACGCCGCGGGGATTTGGGTTTGCAGCTCCTGGGGCAGGGCAGTTTCCCCTTTTCCCGCTTCTGGGATCGCCTTTTCTGGGAATTTCGCCTTTTCCGGGAGCGGCTCGGGCACCGGGACTTGGGGATGCTCCGGGCTCTGTTTTGGGGTGGTTTTACCCAAACCGGGGGGGAGCTGCAGCTCCTGCTTGATTTGCATCTGGTTCAGAGACATCTCTGCGGGAAAACGGGATCAGCTGGAAAAAAAAAAAAAGTGGGAATTTCTTGCGTTACCGGGACGAGGGTGACACAATTCTGAAAAATGTGTTAAAATTTTAAAAAGTCGAGTTTTCCTCCTCTGCCCTTGGCTTCCCCAAGCTAAAACCAAACATTTCAGGACGTTCGCTGTGCCAGAAAAAAAAAAATAATATAAATGTGGGGCCAAGGGGGTGTTTTGGACTGGTAAACCCCAAATAATTCCTGCTTTTTTTCCCATCGATTTTCAGCTTTTCCTTGGAATTCGGAATTCCAGGAGAGGTTCCCGGAGGCTCCGGCGAGCTGAGGGTTAAATTCCCAGGAGAGAGCTCCTCCTTCGGTTCCGGTCTCGCCCGGCTCCGGTGACAATGCCGAGGGTTTGGGTGACCCTGGAAGGGTCCTGGGAATGGAATTCTCTGGGATAAAGCGTCCCCGAGGTCCGCGATTGTCACCGCTGTGCCCTCCTGAGTCAGAGCGGGCAGCGCGGGTTTCTCCTCCCCGACAATTTGGGGACAATTTGGGGACAATTTTGTGGCCGCTGGAGGCTCGCCCGGACCTCGGGAATTCCTGCGCTGCCGCTTTTTAAAAGCCGAGGAGTGAAAGGTGAGAATTCCAAAAGGGATTTGAACTCCCCATGGCAGAGAAAGGGAAAATCCCTCCTCCCTTCCCCAGCTCCTCTCACAGCCAATCCCCTCCTCTCTTCCCTTTTATTTATTTTTTTTTTTAACATCTGATAAGACCTTGATTAATTAATTAATTAATTAAGATCTTGTTCCTGACATGGATGAGGCAGCACTCCTCATATTTTCACTCCTTGCCTCCCTGCAGCGCCCTCTTGCTCCCAAATTTGCCTCTTTCCAAGGAATTCCTGGGTGAAAAGGAAGTATTAAAAATATTTTGGTTATCAAATCAAATTGGAAAATCAGTTTGGTGTCCATCCCTGGAGGGAGGAGATTGGCCCTTGAACCAACGGAATTCCATCTGATCCCTGCCTCAGGAAGGGTCTAATTTAGGGCTTAATTACCCTCAGATTTAGGCTCGGTCTTAATTTGCCTCCCAGTGCCATTTCCAGGCTGCCCCAACGCCCACAAATTCCCTCCTTTCCAGGAATCCTCCACATATCCCAAGGCATCAAATCCAACCTTTCCTGAAAGGCAGAAC